GATTGGCACAGGATAGAGCAGAGTTTAGGTCTGTTGTACATAAGGTCACTATGAGTTGCAAGCGACTAGACAGCACATAACAACATTGTTACTGTCATTTTACAGCCATAAGAGTAACAGAAGTTTGTCTCTTGAGTTTCTAGAATATTCTTCTAAAATCTTTTCTGCAAAGGTTTGGGATTTTGTTTGATGTTCTTGTTTGTTTGTTTTGTTTTTTTAGTTGACTGCTCAAGTTCGTTTGTTTCCACCTTTTCACTAAAGTATGCTCCACGCCATAGAGGCCATTTCTCTTTATGTGCTTTTTTCCCTCCATAATTCATGATTTCTCCTTTCTTGCAGCCGATTGGGTACTGAAGTAGCGGAAATGCGAAAAAGGCAGCAGACACAGAATGAAGGAACGCCTGCTGTGTCTCAAGCGCCCGGAAACCAGAGGCCCAACAACACGTGTTGCTTTTGCTGGTGCTGTTGCTGCAGTTGCTCCTGGTATGTCTGTTTGTCCCCGAGATCCCAACACCTGAACGGCCGTAGTGTGGCTGTGACCACACGAGGCAGGTCCTGGGATCGGAGAAATGACTCAGCATGTCTTGGCCTTTAGTTTCTTTCCGTTTCCAAGTGCTACGCCCTGATAGCACAGTGCATTGTGTGTTGGCCTGCTAACCAAATGGTCAGTGACTCAAATTCATCAGCCGCTCAGGGGAAAGATGATGAGGCAGCAGGTGCCGTGAAGATTTTCAGCCTCAGAAACCAACTTAGGGCCACGATGAGTCCAGTTCGACCCAACAGCAGAGGGTTTAACCACTGTCCTTATGTAAAGATTTTCAAAAGGATAATAGAGTATTTCTTAGAATCTACGTTTAAATTGATAGTAAGATAAAAGAATGAGATAATTGTATTATATCTTATTCTCCTCCATCCATGCACCTTAATTATATGGATAGAAATAAGACTATGGTTATATATTTATTTAACAGGAAGCAGTAATCTGCAACTTAAATAAGACACACACATATTAATAAACTACCTAGAATGTATTTTTCTGGTTATTGGCTAGACCATAGGTTTCTGTTATTCTTCTGCTTATTAAAATAGCAATGAAACATCGTAGAGACCTCAGCCACAGAGCTCCTGTCAATAAGGACAGAGATAAAAGAGCTACCAATTTGTATCTACAAGTAGAGTTGGTCAGAGGCTGAGCAAGTCACTTAATGAGAAGCACGAATGTTAGAGCTTCCAAGATTATTGCCCTTCGTTGCTGTTGTTGTGAACCACGGAGTCAGAGCTGACCCCTAGCTGACCCTCCAGTAGGTTTTCAGAGGCAGCTAATCGCAGGGGAGGAGATTGCCCATCCTTCTTTCCTGGAGCAGCCGGTGGCCTTGAACCGCATGCCTTCAGTATTGCAGCACTGCTTCTTGCCACTAGGCCTCCAGAGCTCTTTAGCCACCCTTTAAACCTGAAACGAAGGTCACTGCCAAAACACAGTCCTCAGCAAATGGTCGACATAGCTGTAAAGTGAACAGTGACACAGGAGGGGCATTCTGCTCTTCAGATCGTCGTTCTTGTTGTAAGGTGCCGTCAAGTTGAGCATGACTCATAGCAAACCTTTATGAACAAAAGACCTGAATCCCATCATTTCCTGTGCCATCCTCACAATATCTGCCACTTGCTGCAGTCACCATGGTAATCCATCACTGTGGGGGGGTTAGTCTTCCTCTCTTTTGCTGACCCTCTACCCTACCAAGCATGATCTCCTTTTTCCAAGGAATAGCCTTTTCTAGCAACATATCCAATGCATGAGGGATGAATCTTTGCCATCTTTGCCTCCAAGGAACACTCCAGCTGCACCTTTTTTGGGACAAACATGTTTGTTCTTTTGGCAGGCGGTGGGGTATTCAGTACTCTTCTCCAACACAGTGACTCAGAGGCGTCAGTTCTTCTTCTGTCATTCTTATCAGCATCCAGCTCTCAGGTAGATAGCAAGTAATTGAAAAGACCATGGTCTGAATCAGGCACACTTAGTGTTAGTCAAGCATTAGTTTTTCATTTACCCAGAAATAAACCTCAGGAAGCAGAAAGAGGTTGGGTAGAAGGATTAAAGGAAATTAGACTCACAAGAAGAAAATAGGAAGGTGTGGTTACATTATTGGTATTTTAATAATATTTTAAAACAAAATATGTAAGAAACAGTTGAATGGAGAACAAATCTACTTTTTTTTTATTTTTTTTTTCAAATCTACTTTTTAACTTTTACTCAAATCATAGTAAAAAGGGAAAATAATTTTAATAAAAACATCTGTATGTCATGAGGTTATTATATAAATTAATTGAGATAAAGGGACTTCTGATGGCCTAGTAGGAAGGAACCACACTACTGCAATCCCAAAGGCACACTGTTCAAATCCACCAACTGCTCTTCAGGAGAAGAATGAACAACCTCATCCTGTGAGATTAGCTGCCTCTTGAAAACTCGCTGGAGGGTCAGCTATGGGCCAGTTCTGACTTGACAGTACACAACAACAACAACAATACATTACTTAGAACAGTCCCTAAGAGATAGTATTTAATAAGGGTTACCTCGTTAATGTTTGTAGTACCTCATATTGGAATACAATCTCCTTGAAAACTAGCTGCCTTGATATGATAATAAAAATATACAAGAGTTCTGGTTTTTAGAAATCAAATCAGTTTATCAATATAATACAAAAAAATTTTAAATATATTATATATAATATAAAAATTACTTTAAGGGAAAAAAGATAATTCCTTTTTAATTCTGTATAACACATTATTATAAATAATTTGTCACCTAATGTTGAAAACAATCTTCTGGTTTTCCTTTTCACTATGCCTTGTTCCAGAATCAATATATTATCTTACTGGCCTGCCAAATGTGTTTCTTAATTGCTTCAAGATTAAATCACTGAAATAGAATGCGAGCATTTTCCTGTGCTATATGTTTGTGTAGTACATAGGGTTTTTCAGAGGCCTGCTATTTCAGAAGTGGATGGCCAATCCTTCTTCCTAGTCTGTCTTAATCTGAATATTCAGATGAGAGAAGTATCAGACAGACCAGCATTTTACAGAAAAGTGAAAGATATATCTCTTATTGTGGAATTAATCATCTGTATCAGTGTTGTCCCTGCCCTTGGCACATGTGTCTTTACCCACTTATTTCCCTGCTCCACCATCCGCCAGGATATCCATCCACTTTTACCCACTCCCTTCAACATCCATCTCTCATTGTCCCACCCTTGATCAGATAGCTTATATCTGAAGCTTCCTTGGCTTCTGTGATTCCAAATACGTCTACTTCTGACAGTTTCTTATTCTGTGATAGAAGGAGAATTGATGCTTTTGAGCTGTGGTGCTGGAGAAGAGTATTGAGAATACCATGGACTGCTAGGAAAACAAACAGATTCATCCTGGAAAGGGTTAAACCAGGCAGCTCCAAGGAGGCAAGGATTCTGAGGCTCCGTCTGACATACTTTGGGCATGTTGTAAGGAGAGACAGGTCCTTAGAGAGGGACATCATGCTTGGGAGGGTAGAGGGCAGGCGCAAAAGGGGAAGACCCTCTATGAGGTGGATTGATTCAGTGACTGGGTTAATCGGGATGGATGAGTCAGAGGCAGTGTGATTGGCACAGGACAGAGCAGGGTTTAGGGCTGTTGTACATTGGGTCGCTATGAGTCACAAACGACTCGACAGCACATAACAGCAACAACATATGTTTGCTGCCAAACTAATATTTAATAAGACTTGTTTATAACATATATCTCTACCATATAAATACATGGTAATGCTTACTTTTAGTAAGTTTTGAGGTATAATCATTAATCCGGGGACTCTGGCTACCTAGTGGGTAAGAAGTTGGACTGCCAACCCTCTGGCAGGCACTTTCAATCTACCAGCTGCACTTAAGGAAAAAGATGAGAAATCTTCTGTGAAATTTGCAGCCTCTGAAAACTCGCGAAAGGGCCTTCTATGAGTCAGTTCAAATTTGATAGCAATGGGAGAGAGATGTATTACTTTACAAGACACTTAGTATTCATTTATGAGTGTCAAATTGTCACAGAAAGTAGACTTTGAAGCTGCGTTACCTCTCCACGCCACTAGGGGGACACACATCAGATGTGGTGCATTAAATGCATGTTCTGTTTCAGAGTGTAGAGTATTATTGCTTGAGACATTTTTGGCTGTCAATCATGGATTCTGAGTCTATGCAATAATACACAGCACATAAATTTGCAAACCCTACAAGATAAATATGTAAGTGATAGCAAATGTCTTACGTAAACAACTGATTTTTTAAAAGATGAAAGCAAAATTATCTGTAGCTATGAATTTGCATTTTTACTATTTGTATTACTGCAAGGAAAATGTCTTTCACATACATTTTTAAAATATTTTTTATTTTTAGTTTAGGGGGAATGAAGGTTTCTTTGATTAAAAAGGAAGACAAGAAATGGTTTGCAAATTTCCCAGGCTAGTTCAAAAGAGCAGAACAAGGGGGGGAGGGAAGGGCAATTGGGGAGGAAAAACTATCAGGAATCCAAATACGCAGTAACTGTCATTTACGACTGGGAACAACTGCCATGTGACTGAATTTACTTCCATTTATGGTCCGAGAGTTCTGGAAAAATAAGTTTCTGGGTTTTGGAGGAACATTCTTCTAAGTAGTACAACACTCTTCTGTTAATTTGCTGTACTGAGGTAACCTGGGGTTGCTGTGATGCTGAACCTTGTGCAAGTGGAGTGCCAAATGCCATAA